CAGCGACGCCGGCAGAACCCGCCGGATCCAGGCCCAATATCGCCAACGAGGTCCGGTATCGGGGGGTCCGAAAAAGACCGTGGGGCCGGTTCGCGGCCGAGATCCGAGACCCGTGGAAGAAGACCCGGGTCTGGCTCGGCACCTTCGACTCGGCCGAAGACGCCGCTCGAGCCTACGACGCCGCTGCTCGCATCCTCCGCGGCCCCAAAGCCAAGACCAACTTCCCGATATCATGTGCTTACCCTCCTCCCTTCTACAACAACCCGACCGACCAGGCCATTGAGACGAAGCTTTTCGGGTCGGGTTACGGGTTTCAGGACCACCCGGTTGTCGATCCGCAGAGGCCCACGTCCAGCAGCCTCAGCTCCACCGTCGAGTCTTTCAGTGGGCCCCGGCAGCCGCTTCAGTCTACGACGATTGCCGCCGAGTCGTCTCGGCGTACACGACAGCCGAGGACCCCGCCGGTTGTTCCCGAGGACTGCCACAGCGACTGCGACTCATCGTCTTCAGTTGTGGAGGACGACGGGGATTTCGCCGCGTCGTCGTCGTTTCGGAAGCCCCTGCTGCCCTTCGATCTCAATTTCCCGCCGTTCGATGAGGAGGGGGAGTTGGGCGGTGGGGACGGTCAGGATCTAAGATGTACGGCTCTATGCCTCTGATATTGTTTGTTGTTATTATGAGGTTGATCTTCGTTTGATGAAGATGATGATCAATGATTCAATTTTTTTTTTTTTCTCTTTTAAAATTTTATAATCTCTTTTCTTTTTTTCATTTCTACTATTATTGTGCGGAGGAAAATGAAAAGAAGATGGTTAGATTAGTAAGATTATGGTAAGATGATCTTATTTCTGTATTCTCGCATGGTGTTTGATGAGAATTACTTTTTTTATTTTTATTTTTATCTCATTTTAGAAACAAAAGAAGTAATTATGAGGAGCTTGTTGTTGTTATGTGATATGTGTTAGGGTTTGTGGACTGTGATGGGATCTGGAATTCTTCAGTTTTCATGTTCTTGTTTAAAAATGGGGTAAAAGGAAAGGCTTATCTAATTCATATTGGGTGGAAATCTATGATTGGGTTGGTAGTTTTGTTTATGTTTTTTGCAAGTTTACTCATTTGTAGTTTCTCTTGTTCTTATTCCATTGTCATTTTTAGAATGAGATTCAATTTGCGTGGGCAGATTTGGGGAATGCAAGAGAAAACAAGTTGGAATGTGTCATTCTATTTTGATGTAGATGTTGTGATATATACCTTTTTAAAGAAATCTCATTTGTTTGTAAGTTTACGGCCGCATGATAACCATTTCAATTAGTTTTTAGTTTTCATTTTTCATTTTTTATGCTAGAGTATATAGGAAAATGCGAGTGTGGATGAGATTGAGAGAGAGGATGAGAGGGGAGGATGGGAGGGACGAGAAACAACCGCAAAAATTAAAAACTAAAATTGAAATGGTTATCAAACGAGCTGATAATGAAAAAAGAAATTGAGAAGTTGGTTCAATTTTGTGAATAAATGTGAAAATTGGATGCTCAATTTTAAGTTTAATGTTGAATGCTTCATGTTGACTTTTGTTGAGTAAAGGCCATGTCCTATTGTTTTGATTGGTAAGAGAGTGGGGGTCAACAATTGCATGTACAACAAAACGCAGTCTCTGAAATTGCATTCAAATACCTCCTCACCACTCACCTTATTATGTTGTCGTGTTGCTCATCTTCGAAAGTTGAACTTGGGCTAGAATTAGAGGAAGTCTGTTTTGCTATTCTCAATTAATCATATTTTGTCACGCATTATAAGAATTTTTATAGATCAAAATGTGATTAGATGAAGATAACAAAACAATGTTGTTTCCGTAACATATACAAGCTCTTCTCCTAAGAAGCTCTCTACTTTCCAACCCCTACCTTTTTTTTAAATTCTTTAACTTGATTTTTAATTGTGTTGGGCATTGTGATGCTTCAGCTTCAAATTGAATTAGAGTCCCAAGAAAATATGCTTTTGTCCTTGTTGGGATGTAATGTAAGATTGCATATGGATTCTTTTTATGGAGGGCATTTTTGCATCTTCAAAGCTGACTGGGGATTTGAATTGGAGCTAGCTAGGTCAGCCAGCCAGCCTGGGTTACGTAGATTTCCTGGCAATACGAATATACAATACAATACAAGCAGTAGAAGACATTGTTTTTGTGGGCTCTGCAAACTTTGGGCCTCAGGTTTTCCGATGCATTCTTTTTCTATTTTGTCTTTATTTTTATGTTTTTGTTACAATGAAGAATATCGAACTTTTGCCTTAATCGAATCCGAACCTCGTCATTTAGGCTCTAACGGGGTTTAACCCAATGAAAAAGGATTTGACAGTGTGTGTTTGAGTAACCCTCTCCCCTTGTAGTTTATAATATCTCTTGTATAAAAAAACAAAAACATCGTCATTCAGGCTAACCTCAATAACCTAAAGAGGTTGAACGCGTTTTCTCTTTTGGGGGTGGTGGGATAAAAAAAATATTGCATTCATCAATGAATGGGAGAATGGGTTCAAATTGCACCTAACATTAGTACTCAATAAATACAGTAGTTATTGCTTTTTCTGCATTCTTTTTCCAAACACAAGACAGAAAACAGAGCCCGACGAATAAATCACTACTGGGAATCTCGTGATTTAGGTTTACTCGAATCTACTGTTAAGGACAGGGATGGGTCCAATCCTATTGGATTCATCTTCACCTTCTTTATTACTCGCTTAATTTTCAAAACATTCTTTTGACAAAGTTTAGTCTTCTTTTCTTTCTACACTCGGTATTTAATTTTGACTCTAAACTTTTATTTTTCTTTTATATGTTACAGAATTATATTAGGGTTATGAAGTTTGTTAAATTCATGTATCTTATGGTGGAGAGAGACTTTCATGCAATGCGATAATTTTTTCATAACACACGGGATAACTTTTCCATGTATCATTGCATTATTGGCTGATGATGATGTCAAACCCCGTTACAAGAAAGTTTTCCTGCTTATGGTGGGTAGGTTACATTATGCAGACTCATTCATTTCAAGAAGAGAAGAAGAAACATATAGGGGGGCCTTGCCTATCCAATGAGATCCATACCCTACCCTAACCTGCCCCGCCAGTGTTCTCCATAGCTAACACGTTTGACCCCTACCCTACCAGATTGCACAGCTTTTACACATGATGCATTGATGTCGACTTGGAAAAATCATAATTGTGTTTGTGTTGTGAAGAAGAAGAAGAAGAAGATGATGTCTTTAAAATGGTGATTCAAGCAAGTCTTAAAATGTGCACCACACCAACCCAACCAACCAAAAAGAGGAAGTTGGTTTCTTCAAATGAGCTCAATTAATCAAAGCATTGTGGAAAAAAAAAGGGGGCTTAATTCTCTGCAAATGCTTCCACCGACACCTGCTTTGCACATGCCATGCATGACTTTATGTCCCCTCTTTGCTCAATACTTTGTACACATTTCACAGTAACACTGCTTTCCATGGCCACGTCCTGGCTTCCTCCCTCCAAGATCATTTCCCGCCAAATCAAAAAACCAAAATAATAAATAATAAAGAAAGAAAATACAACATCTCCACTGTATATATAATAAGTTTTCTGTTTACCAATGGTTTTTCTTTGTCCCTACTTTATCTAGCTATGTATATTGCTTTAAAGAAAGTAACTAAGTTTTGGTTGCAAATGTTCATGGGGCTTCTTTCTTCATGTGCGGCCCAATTTTAAGTTGACGCACTATTTTCCGTTGGTGGTGTCTCTAATGATATGATATTGTTAGACTTAATTATAAATTTGCCTCTCAAACTTTTGAGGTTTTCCACTTTGCTTTAAAACTTTTTATTTAATGATTTTGTTTCTTGGACTGAGGAAGCACCTACATGGTTGCTATCTTCTTTTTCTGCAGATGTATCTCTTCTTGAGTTTTTTTGAATGAAATCTTGATTCTCGGAAAAAAAAAAAGGTACGCAGGGGCTTGTATACAGATCAAGTGTTAAAGAACATTTATCACTTACACTCAAAATCCTAGGTTCGATTCTCCGCTTTCCAATATTTCTTGTATCAGGGAATAAAAAAGTATGCTAAAATGGGGACTAACCTGGGCTAAAGCCCGGGCAAATTGTTTTTGTTTTAAGACTAAATTAATACTCTAGCCTAGGTCATCCAAATAAAATATTATTAACTAATCCCACTAGAATTAGGCTGAACAACCAAATAAAATATTATTAACTAATCCCATTACGTCTAAGCTGGCCAACAAATAAATAAAAAGAACTAAATCCCACAATTATTAACTGAACTATTCCAAAATCACTACACTAGGCACAAACATTCCCTCTCTCCTTTACCAAAAAAAGAAAAAAGAATTCCCTCTATCTCTTGCGTAGTAGCAGACCATCCGCTAGCGGCTAACTCCTGCTCTTCAACAAAAAGGAAAATTATGCATGTCCTCAGACTTAATTAAAGCAAACTAAGGTAATCTTCCATTCTTCATCTTATTTTCTTTTGAAAATTTGGGGATTATTTAGGGTTTATGAAGTATCAATTAGGGATTTACAATTAAGGTTTATCAATTAGATTTTTTGATTTTGGTGTTCTAGCTTGCTTGTATGAATTGTCAATTAGGGATTTTAATTAGATATTGAATCAATAATTAGTGATTTTAATGCTGTGAAGACTCGAAGGGTGCAACTTATATAAGTGTTATTTAAGGGGTAAGGCTCATTATGTCCCCTTATATATTTTTTTGTTATCAATGAAATTTACTCGCAGCGTTGAGTTTTCAATTAGTTTTGTTAGGACCCCATCACTAGTTTATCACCTATCTATTTCCATTAAGAATAAAGGCTAGCAGTGTTCCTTATTTGTAGGGAATTAGTTGTCATTTAGCTGGCTTGTTGCCATCTGGCATTTGAGAGTCTGTAAATATCCTTCTTGTTGTTTCTGAGAAAGGCATGAAATGAAAAAGTTGTTTTCTTCCTTTTATTCCCAATTGCTATTTCCTTACCTTTTCCAAATTAGGTTTTGGGTCCCAACATTTGGTATCAGAGCCAAGTTACGTCTTATGGGCAAGAAACATCAGGCGACTACCTCAATAGAGGTCGTTGCCATAGCGGAGGTAGAGCTTGACGTTCAAAAGGAGCTATGGGAAGCCCAAATCCACGAGGTGCAGAATTTAGTGTCCACCATGACCTTCAGACAAATATGACAGAAGTTTTGGAGACGCTATTGTCTTTGACCACGCAATAGGCTCAGCAAGTTGCCTTTTAGAAAATGATAATGGACGAGCTACGTAATTTACAAACACGAGCTCCGCAGCCATCGTCCATATGAGTGGATAGGCTAAGCTCAGTTTCACCAGCGCAACAGAGTCCGATATCCTCGCTGGGTCTAACGGTTTTTGGGACTTTCGTAGGCGAAGGACCCAACACGATTCTCTCAAACACACTCCTCTATTCCCAACCATCCAAGAGAATATCGACATCTAATGTGGGTTTTTTCATCACCAATTCTGATCAATTTACCGCCCGTGGCCATGGGGGCACCTTCTAATCTGACTTTTCAGAGAGGATCTTGTCTGATTACAAGTCTGCCCTATATGGCCACATCAAGCAACTATACCACGCTACCTCCATTTCCTTTTTTTTTTTCAACATACACACCCTCCATGGTTCAACCGCCGCCGTATATCCATCCGTACTTAGTTCCAATGAGTACGATATCACCAAACTTTCCTAATCATTCTTAATCCAATATGAAGCTGATGAAATTGGATATGGGGTGGTTGGCTATGGTGGAGCGTTTTCTGGAGTATCACGAGGTACCCGAGCACAAAAAGGTCATTGTGGCTGAATGGGGGTACAATTCCACTTACCACTCCGCCATAACGAAGACTCCGTTTGAGGCTGTTTATGGAAAATCTCCTCCTTCCATAATTTCTTACATACCTGGAACTTCTGATGTGAATGCAGTTGATACAACACCGAGAGAGCGTGATTCCATACTTTACCAACTTCGCCAGACCTTGTTGACGGCTCAAGAAAGGATGAAGTATTTTGCATATAAACACAGGACTGAGCGTGAATTTCATATAGGTGACTGGGTGTATTTGTAGCTCCAAACGAATCGCCAAGCCACTCTCCGCGGCTCTCAGTCTCCTAAACTCGCTCTTCGCAATTACGGTACCTTCTAGATCACTTCTTGTGTAGGGACTATAGCGTATAAACTGGCGTTGCTAGTCACTGCCAAAATCCACAATGTCTTCCATGTCTCATTGCTTAAAAAGAAACTTGGCTCTTCCGTGGTTCCTACCTTACCACCCATTTCTGATGGTGCAGTCAGTTGGACACCCGCCAAAATCCTGGATTGAGGCATTTTCAAGCGTCAAAACAAGCATGTGACTTGATGGCTGATACAATGGGCATGCTTACCCACTGAGGATGCTACATGGGAGGATGCATTGGACATTGAAACCCATTTTCCTTCCTTCCAAACTTGAGAGCAGGTTTATTCTTAGGGGGCTGGATTGTTAGGACCCTATCACTAGTTTATCACCTATCTATTTCCAATAAGAATAAAGGCTAGTAGTGTTCCTTATTTGTAGGTAATTAGTTGTCATCTGGCTGGCTTGTGGCCATTTGGCATTTGAGAGTCTGTATATATCCTTCTCGTTGTTTCTGAGAAAGGCATGAAATGAAAAATTTGTTTTCTTCCTTTTATTTCCAATTGCTATTTCCTTACCTTTTCCAAATTAGGTTTTGGGTCCCAACAGTTTGTACGTAAGGTAAATTTAACCAACGCCATTTTGAAATCCTGGGTCCGTCCTTGAGTTGGCAGAACTACTTTTCAAAGGACATATCAAGCAAAGAGATGGGTTAACCCTTCACCTTATGTCTAGGAGAGGGTCATGGTTTACTTGATCAACTTTCCAATCTACTGCAAATATATATATTTGTAATATTGGTGTACATGATTGGAGTGATGGCTATGGAAAGCTTGTTGGTTACTAGAGGTAGTGATAGTGGTGACGAGGTAGTACATGCATATTTTCTTAATTAACTTGTAATTTTTTACTTTCCATCCAACACTTTTTTGTTGTTGTTGAGATCAAGGTCTAAAATATCGATGATATCGGAAATATCGGTAGTCCAAAAACACGGAAATGTCGATGGAAATATCGGGATATTATCGATATCGATAAAAATTGAATAAAAACCACAGAAATTGTAAGAAAAACTTGGAAATTTTTATTGAAACTTTGCAGGATGTTTATTTAGTCAATTATCTATTAGTTTATCACAAAAAAATTGGAAGGAAATGCATTGCATGATGGATTTAACTGATTTAAGTTGATTATATAGCGAGCTGGCAAACACTGTAAGTGTAGAAAATATGTAGTAATTAATGAAAGAAGATTAAACACACCATAATCATTTATATATAATGGATTACTACAATATTTTACACTTTATACATTTTTTTTTTTTGGTAAAGAGGAGGGCAAGGCCCAACAAAACACTAAGGAACAATAAGTCTGGGTAAGCACACCCTACACATATCCTTGAAGATTAACTGATTGACAGCAACAGGAGCAGTAACCCAAGTATGGAGACCCAAAGGCTTGGTGACCCCAATAGAAGCAAGCATATCAGCAACTGAATTGCTTTCTCTGAAGACATGATGAATACGACAAACACCACCAGTCATGCTAGCTTTACAACTAGAGATAAGAGTGAACAAAGGGTGAAGAGGGTCACAACTAGGCGCATTCACGAGGTCCACCGCCAAACAGGAATCAGACTCCACAATAAGGGGAAAATAATTCGATTGGTTAGCAAGCCGCAATCCATAGAGGATGGCCCATAACTTAGCTTGTAAAACAGACCCCCTCCCAATATTAGCAGAGAATCCACCAACCCAGTCCCCATTGGCATTTCTGATAATACCACCAGCACCAATAATCCCTTCCTCACCTTTCCTGCAGCCATCAGTATTTAGTTTCCACCAACCAACCAATAATCCCTTGTTTTGATATTTTGCTTCCATGCTTTGCTTTTGTTCAGGGACAACTTGAGAGCCCTTCAACTTTTTGTCACAGCAGTTGAAAGTTTGAAACTGGAGCCTCTTGTGTTGAATTGGTAGGTGGGGGCACCACACACACCTACCAACAACAACAGGTCCTAAACAACACATGCCCACTAACAGTTTTTGCTATGATTGATTTGGTCTGGCCTCATGAGATGGCATTTGCAGCTTTCTGTTATAGCTATGATGTCAAAATTTCAGCTGTGTTCTCCAACCTGGCTCTGTTTTTTTTTCATTAAGAACTGGTTTAGTTATCCAGATGAATAGCATGATAGAATAAATCAGGATTTAATTAGTCAAATGCAATCTCTGTTAAATCCAAACCTTCTGTCTGAGAAGATGGGAAATAGATTCAGAAGGCCACTTACAGATATGGCAGCAAGCATCAAGAGAGAGACCTTTACTCCTTCGAGCTTCATTAGTAAGAATTCTGCCATGGCACAAAGTCCATAGAAAAGTTTTAATTTTGGGGGGGAGGGTCAGGTTCCAAATGAAATCCCATTGCCAATGGTCCACACAATCATCCTGGATAAGAGCAGAGTAAGCAGAGCTCACAGAGAAACGACCATTAGAGTTTGCAGCCCAAATAAGTTTATCAGTAACCACACCAGGGGCTGAAACATGGAGACAAGATATCTTGGTGACAATCTCAGTAGGGAGCCATATGTTAAGTTTAGGAAAATTCCATTCACCATTAGTAATGAAATCACTAACCTTCTCATGCAAATGATCAAGAGTAAGGGGGTGGCAGGCATACCTTTGGAGCGACTCAGTATCAATCCAAGGGTCAGTCCAAAACAAAACAGAGCACCCATCACCCAATCTATACTTCAAACCCGTGGACAAGGCCTGAGTCCCATATAAATTTCCTTTCCAAGTAGAGGAAGAATCCATAAAATCCTTTTTTTTAACCTCAGTCACCTTTTTACCTTTCAGATATTTCCCATTCACAACATCAATCCAAAGGCCATGATGGTGTTGAAGAATCCTCCAACCAGCTTTAGCAAGCAGGGATTGATTAACAACAATGGCTTTCTTAAGCCCCAGCCCACCAAGGTGTTTAGGCCGAGAAACCTTCTCCCAACTCACAAGGTGGACTTTCTTTTTGCTATCAGTAGAGCCCCAGAGGAAGTTTCTGTTCAAACGGTCCAGCTCATGGCACACTGTCATAGGAAGTTTAGAGGTTTGCATAGAGTATGTAGGAATAGATGAAGAAACCGCCTGAATCAACGTCATCCTTCCAGCCATCGATAGAGTAGCACTTTTCCAACCTGTCAGCCGTTTCTTAACTTTATCAATAACCTCCCAATAGGTGGCTTTATTGATGCGGTTATGAATTAAGGGAACACCAAGGTATTTCCCAAGGTCCTGAGTCAACGGGGAACCACAAGTCTGAGCCAAAAGCAAAGCATCACTTCTTTTCACATTAGGAGAGCATAGAACTTGAGACTTCTCATAACTCACCATATGACCAGACATACTGCAGAAAACATCCAAGCACTCTCTCATGAGTCTTGCCTGCCTAGGAGAAGCCTCAGCAAACAGGATCAAGTCATCAGCAAAGAAAAGGTGGGAGATAAAAGGGCCCTGCTTGGAAACAGGCACCGGCTTCCACGTACGGCCCTCAATACTTTGGGTAATCATATGAGAAAGCTTCTCCATACAGAGGACAAACAAATAAGGGGACAACGGGTCACCTTGTCTAATGCCACTTTGGGGGGTAAAACCAACTGTATTTTCCCCATTAATGATAGCCTGGAAGGTCACTGAACAGACGCAAGACATAATTAAGTCCAGGAATTTACCATGAATACCAATCTCCATAAGCACCCGCTTGATAAAGTTCCATTGAAGCCTATCATAGGCTTTAGCCAAGTCAATTTTCCAAGCCATGAAGCCCTTTTTACCTTTGGTCTTCCTGAATTTGTGAAAAGTTTCCTGAGCGATAATAATATTGTCCGTTATTTGCCTTCCAGGAACAAAGCTAACTTGGGTAGGTCCAACCAAATTGGGCATCAACGGACGAAGCCTCGCCACAAGAATCTTAGAGACAACTTTATACAAGGTGTTGCAAAGGCTAATAGGCCGTAACTGTTTCATACTCAAAGGTTTCTCCACTTTCGGAATGAGAGAGATAAAGGTGTGATTCAGGCCGTCGGGAATTCTACCGGTCTCAAAACAATTCCTCACAAAGTGAATGATATCATTGCCACATAAGTCCCAAGAATGTTGAAAAAACCCAGCAGGAAGGCCATCAGGCCCTGGAGCCTTTAGTTTCCCAATGGCAAAGAGACTTTCCTTAATTTCCACATCCATCACCTCTCTATTCAGTGCCACCATTCTACTAGGATCAATGATAGGAAAGGTTATGTGATAGGTGTCAAAGTGCTGTAATTTCTTGGCAGTAAACAGCTCCACAAAATAATTGACCACAATTTCATGAATACCAAACTTATCATAAGACCAATCCCCATTTTCATTTTCAAGGCCTTCAATTTTGTTCCTCCTTCTGCGAATAATAGTAGAAAGATGAAAAAATTTAGTATTTCTGTCGCCCTCCCGAAGCCAAAGATTCCTGGATTTTTGGTGCCAAAAAGTCTCCTCTTGAAGAAGAATAGCATTATATTCAGAAGAAAGATCCTTCTCCAGCTGAGCTAAAAAGGAACTAGATTTAGAGATCAAGGCTCTTTGGATGCCATCAAGTCTAGCAATAATTCTTCTCTTCCTCTGGAAAAGACTGCCAAAGGTCTCTTTATTCCACGTCACAATGGACGAAGTAAACTCCTGGATTTTATGGAGAATACAAGAATTTCTAGCAGGCCAAGCCGAAGAAAGGAACTTATTGTACTCATTATGTTGCAACCACATGGCCTCAAATCTGAAAGGCTTGAGCTCAGGATGGGGAATATGATGGCTGTCCAAGCATAACAACATAGGATTATGATCAGAATTAATACGAGGAAGGTGCTTGATAAAAGCCTCAGGAAACAATACTCTCCAGTTCAGAGTGCATAGACTCCTATCAAGTCTCTTCCATATGGTTTTACCACTCTCCCTTTTATTAGTCCAAGTAAAGGGGCTGCCAAGGAACCCTAAATCCACAAGATCAAAATTATGAATCCAATTAGCGAGCCCCCCAGGTTTAAACTGGGATCTCCCACCTTTACATTCTTCCAACGAAGTAGTTTCATTGAAATCCCCACTAATGAGCCAAGGTAGAGAGTTGTTATCCCCAATGTCAGCCAGGTGATTCCAGAGAGCCTCTCTTATCCTAGAACAAGGACTCCCATAAACAACAGTCAAAAGCCAATTCTGAACACCATACCCAGAGACTAAAACAGTACAGGCTTGGCTCATTGACACCATGAGTTGCACATGTAGCTTGTCGTCATTCCACAATAGCCAAATGCCACCAGAAAAACCATTAGCCTCCACAACCAGATGTTGATTGAAGGGCAGCCTTTTAATGACATTAGCAGCTCTCCTGCCCCTAATCCTTGGTTCCATAATCGCCAAGACATCAAAATTATGCATTCTTTTTAGGTGAGTGATGGTACCGGAAAAGCCCTTACCACCAGCCCCTCTAACATTCCAAACCATTAGTTTTATCATCATAAAAAACTAAGAAAGGATG